TCTCTCTCTCTCTCTCTAGCTCTCTCATCCGATCTCTTGGCCTCCCCCTCTCTTCTCTCTGTCTATACCTCCGCGTCTCGGCACCGTGATCTGAGCTCTCACGTAGTACCACCGTTTCAGCCATGCGCATAAATCTAAAGCTCTGGAATCAGAGAATAAACTGAGGGAGACGAGCTTTGATCTGACGGACGACGGCTAGCCTGTGGCGCTGTGTGTGCGCAGGCGCGCCAACTATACGACAGCTACGTACTGCTTTCTGCCTGCTGCTGGTGGCTTCGATCGCGCGACACATAAAACGAAGATAACTTGTCTCGTCGTTCGACGATTAATGAAAACATTAGGAAGAGAGAGAGAGAGAGGCAGAGAAGAGAGAGAGAGAAGAGAACGAAGAGAGAGAGAGAGCGAGAGAGCGAGTCGTGGTGCTGTAAATGCCAGCTTAAGCGTGAAGTCCCATGTAACGCGTTCTCTCTTTCGAGTCGTTGTCGCAGTGCCAAGGATCTAATGCTCGCGTCGCGTGCGTGATGTGCTGGTGTGCGTGCCGCGGTCGTGCGTGCTGTGTTGTGTGCGGCGCGCTGTGTGTGCGTGCGTGTCTGCGTGTGGTGGCTGTGCGCGTGTGTGTTCTGTGTCGGTGTGTGTCTCGGCTGAGAACGTGTGAAATATAAAATCATACCTGCCCTACACTAATACCCAAGTTCCGTGTGCTTGAAGCGGTAAAATTGACTCTACAACAAAAGTTTACCAGTGCAAAACCATGATAGGTAAAATTAACAAATTTATCGTTCTAAAAGTGATTAGCAATTATATATTATCCTGCATATCAGCTTAGAAATCATTTAGACCAAAAATGAAACCGAATGGGACAAATAACAACATTCCATCCTAGCATATTTTGAAATAAATTCTCACGGAATGCTCATGCTGAAAGCATTTTGCAAATAAATAACAAAATCCCATGCTAAATTCATCGTCAATAAATTAGAGTTCCTCTCGCTAAAAGCATGTTTGAAATAAACTATTTCGAGCCGAATCAAACACAAAATCGGGAGATTTGATGAACTGAGTTTCTAAGCGCGTTTTCTCCGTAGCTGACTTGAGATAAAACGGTGTGTGTGTTTATATATAGAAGCTTGCTCTGCGCATCAACGAACGTTGTTTGGCTTGACAAGTATAGGTGCGACTCCTACCACACCCATCAAGTCTGCAAACCTGATAAGTAAATTGTGAGAACGTTGAGAAAGTTTAAGTCGCCACCCTGGCTAGACTGTAAGCACAGTCCGGTTAGATCGAGTAACCCACAGCGTCTGGGCTTTATAAGTATACTAGTACCACCTATACAACTTGCTTTCATATAATCTGAAATAGTACTGGTCCTGTGGAGATATATTATGCAGCCGACTCAGTTTTTGGTCACCTTTAATTTGTGGCAGACAAAAATCCCCGAGTTCTCTAAGACGCACGAATCGATAATTAGTAAGGATGAATGTGATTAAGCAGATGCACGTGTGTATCGTGTTAACCACATTTTCTTTGACAATTTACAATCGATAACTCGTGCGAATGCATCGAAAACCACATGCAAAGAACCGTATTCGAAAAACCAACGTAAATTAGTTATTTCTTGCGGGCCTTTGCTAATTTTTAGCTAATCTCGGTTTTCACGCCACACACCGATTCGCTCCGTTATAGTTCAGCTGGTAATCTTTAATCGAATAATTGTGTGTAGATGACAGAAAAAAAATTTTTTCATTGGATAAGAGCGCGCTACTGAATAATTCATACTTTTACTTATACAAGCGAGATTACTCTAATATTCATCTGCCTTCCAAGCATTTCTTATACGCAATTCTGATCAACATAACAATGTCATAATAATGAGATATCATAGCCGACCCAGCGCTGCCATACACAGTACTCAACGAGATATATTTCACCGCAGTCCATCGCACCCAGATTCAAGACTGATACAAGAGCACGTCAGTCCCTGCCTAGCAAAATACGAAAATTATCTCCTACTGGTGGGCTCTGGCTAAGAACGACAATGTATGAGCCTAGGTGCCACCACGTGACAGCTAGCAGTGATCCATTTTTAAGATATGCCATCACGCTCTACCTGGTCGCAGACCTCGCCTGTCGCGCGTGAATGGTGAGCAAGGTGCGTTTGCAGGGTAGATGGGAGGTTGGAGTCCCGGTGGGCGCAAGCACACACACAGCATCCACAGGCACTTGAAGCGTTATCAGTAAAATATAATGCAACTAAATAACATAAACTATTTACTACCCATATACTTAATGTTCTAACTTCTTTCAGCCTATTACATGCGACATTCCTGTAAATTCTCCAAATTCAGTCCAACTCATATAACAGCTGCCGCGCCATGCTCGCGGATGTTACTATTATAATAGTGTAGAACTATCTAATAATAACACTATATATATTAGTGTAACCGTGCAACAGTGCACGCCGGAAGAGCAATGGCGCCGCAGCTATATGTGGAGTCGTAGTGATTTGCACGAATTTACAGGAAACTGTCCATAATAGGTGAAAGATATATAGGAAACACTAAGAATTGATAGTAAATCATTTCGTATTAGTTAGGCATTATATTTATTGAAACTTTCAAGGCCTGTGCACACGATCACTCGATTTAATCCGGCAGGGAGTGGCGGGGAGGAGGATGGGGAGGGAATTTGTCGTCTAATGCTAAAACGCCTGTAATTTGTTTTGGTCCCGCGTAACGTAGTCTTACTCTCGCTCTCACACAAACCTCTCTCACTCACACTCACTCACAACAGTTTTTGCAAATTATCGCAGATCCGGTGCTGGATTCCCATTAACCATAACACCACACACTACACAACACACACACCCACACACACACACACACACACACACACACACACACCCACACTCAGCACGACGCACGCCGACGCCACACACTCACACCAACACGCACACCGCACACGCACACCGCAACCGGACAACACACCACACAACATAGCACACCACACCGCACATGCAGCGCGCCGCACGCACACACACACACGACACACAGCGCACACACACACACACCACACACAACGCACACACACACACACACACACACACACACACACAACACACAACCACCACAGCACAGCGACACACACACGATCTCTCTCTCGCTCTCTTCACACTCTCTCTCCACTCTCACATCTCTATCTCTAGTCTGTCTCCCTCTCGCCGCGTTCAGTCGAAAGACCTCTCTGTATTGCTCTCTGCCTCTAACGTCTACCTCAAGCTTTGTCCTCTCTCTTCTGTCGTCCTCGGTCTGCATATACCCTCTAAGAGGGCTTCCTGTACGTCTGACTTCTACCCCGTCTTTCCCCTCTACCTGATCTGCCTTTACTCTACATCTTAACCCTGCTTTCCCTCTCCCCTTATCTTCCTACTCTACATCTACCTGATCCTTTCCCTCTCTTCTCGCTCTGACCTAATACATCTATCTCTACCTCTGATTATAGCTATAAACGCTCCAACGCCCTGCCTCACACTACCAGGCGCCACGAATCTAAAGCTGGCATACACACTTACGGCGCACAGTAATTAATTATTCAATCTGCAAACCTACTACTAAATCTACGCTACCTGTCGACCTGCACTGTAAATAAGCACGCGGGCGTGCGACGTACGGTCTCGTGGCACGTCGTTGTTCCCTCGCGTTGTGACTCAAATCGTGGCGTCGCGTGGCGACGTGTGCTCCGTGCGAGTGCTGTAGAAATTCGTGATTGAACGAAGGTGATAATTCATCTAGCATCTGGCGAAATGAAAATGTTATTCACTCAAGTTAAATTTAGTAACGTACAGACGGATAATTGCTGTAGCTATCTTATCTTCTGGATGATGGTTCGCGGTTCCTTTTCGAATTCCACGGACGATCATGCGATTCTACAAGCTGCATCTGACTATGTCAGATGAGCTAAAAATGGGTTAATGTTAAAAATTCTTTTTAAATTACAGATCTATGGATTAAAAGCCAACCCGTTCCCACAAGTAATGACAGTAGGCATGAAAACTGACATTTCGTTTTGACGATCCCCCTCAACGTCCCGAATATCGTGACCGTACGTCAAGCGGTTAAGATTTGAGCCCAACTGTTGACGCACGGACGCACGGACGAACGCACGGCCGGACGGACGCACGGACGCGCGCCATTGCGATTCTACAAGCTGCATCTGACTATGTCAGATAAGCTAAAAATTATAGAGCGAAAATAAAACAGTAACCGTGTTTGTGCAAGGCAGTGAAAATATTGTTTCCCCACCGAGAACTCGATGGAGAGTCGCCGCATTAATATTTAATATA